CCAAAGAATGATAACAGCAGCTCTTCAAACGTGGCCCGCATTGCGTTCTGTGGTGCTTCCTTCAGTCCGAGGATAATCGTTATCTGGGCAGAATTGTCTGTGACGTGGAACACGAACACAAACTTTCCTTTTATTTTATAATTTGGACGGTATCTAACTCAATTCGAGATAAATATTCATGGCATTGGAAAGTATTCGTGACTCTCTTTGTCCGCCATCTTGAATCTCTTGGTTTGTTGTGAAACACAACACTCCACTCAAAACACGCATTCTCATTGGTTGAAACGTGAGTTTCGTGACATCACAGATGTCCTAATTTATTGGGATATTCCGGACTGATGTACACTGCACTCAGCCATGACGGGTGTTACAGGCTACGATCCTTAATGACAGCCCTGCTTACACTTTTGCAGGCTGTAGTGTGTGATGTTAGATTTTAACAGTCAAAAACAAAATAGACTACACTATACACTGAACATTGGTGTGAATTACACAATGGTGATAATGGAGATAATAGTTCAACAACACAAGCACGATCAACTACTTGGTACATGTACTTGGTAACACAACATTAATGAGGTTAAGATTAATGAATATATAAACAGAATCCTCAGTGCAGTTTAATATACTTCTAAAATTGATTGACAGTAGTATCAATTTGACAATGCAATCTCATGAAGTCTGTCAGAGCTCTTAACTGTCAGTTGCATTATTTAATGAATCTTTTTTTCTTCATGTTTACTACTTGCAAGTGTTAATTAATTAGAATGGAACAATAAAAAAGAAGAGACCGTAGGCCCTGATATAAAATTTTATACAGAAACCTTGATCTCTTTGAACAGATTAGATGCAGTTTTGTGCTACAACCATCTTCCAAGGATTTTTTCATCATTGATGAGTTACTACTTATCAGATCACTCTACTCTATACAAAGCAGCTCAGGAAACAATGAATGTAAGCCTTCTAGAACACTACTAAATTTTCCTTGAAATTAGCCTATATACATTGTACATTGAACTTAACCTGTAGTAAGGTGTTCAAAGGATTCTGTCATGTACACATTTTCATGTGTTTCTCAAAGGTTGGACTTGTCCTGCCCTGAATGACACTAACATGCAAGTTTTCCTCTCTCGTTACTTTAGACACTTTTACAAGACTGTCTTGCTCCAGTTGCTGATGATGTGTGCACAGAGATCACCAAGTCTGCTGGTACAAATAATACACCATTACAAAAGATAATTAAGTGAGTTGCACCTTTAACATTACCAAATTGTTGGTTTGATTGCAACAGTAAACTTACAGTACTGAAGAATAGGGAATGCCCAGTGTATACGTGTGCATTACATATATATCTGGTCAGGTCAAGTTAACAGTTGCCTTTGTTTTCATCACGCAGATGTCTAGAATCAGGTCTCCAATATCGTTATCAAGCATCTTGGGCTGTCATCTTAGAAGTGATCAGAGTTACATTCGAGGTTAGCTTCTTCTTTTGGGTTTGGTTTCCTGTTTAGAATAAGTTGGTTCTTGCAATTAATTAATTTACATTCATGTTTGTGACGTTACATTGACTATCACACTTGTATTTCTGCAATTTACTGGCGATGGTTTTAGTATGTACTTGCTTGTTAGTTACAGTGTATATTAGGGGAAAATGTACACTTGTGTCATGATCGTGATTAATTTATTGTGTGGTGCAAAGTGGCTAATATAATTTTAAATTTTGTCGTCCAGGTTCTTGGAAAGCATTGCCCAAAATTATTGAAAAAGGTTAGTCACTGGGAAATTGTTTACTTGTAGATGTTTGTTGTATATTCTTTGCATTTATCTCCAATCTTACTCTTTTGTCATTGTTTTTTTTTTTAAATATGAATAATAATAAGACTAATAATCATTCATTATTGTGTTAATATTTTCTTGAAGCTCTTGATGTCCCTTTGTGACTTGCGAGGCACACATCAATTTCCTTACGTAAACAAACTAGAACGAGCTGTTGGTATGGCTGTTCAGAAAATGGGACCCAGGTACAATTATTTGCAATGATTTATATGACACATTACATGTACTGTTAGCATATCACAGGATAATGATATGACGTACATGAATAAATCAAGTTTTTAACGTATGCTAAATAATTAGTGTGGTACATGTACATGTACGTTTGATAATTGGATATGAATTTTGTTCCTATTTCCTAGGATTGTCTTGGAAGCTGTGCCACTACAACTTGACAAGGAAATGTAAGATTTGATGTTTACCACTTACAGTAGGAGCTTAATACGATACAATTCTGATGAACTAAACAAAAACAAAAACAAAAACAAAAAACAAAAAAAACAAAAACAAAAAACAAAAAAAAAAAAGAAAAAGAAAAAGAAAGAAAAAAAAATTGGCTGTGTGGAAAAAGATAGAGGAGACCCGAGGCTGAATTAAACTCCATAAACATCCTTTTAAAGTGTTTAAACTTTGGTCTTAGCGGGGAAATCATACTGTACAAGATATTTGTGTTACTTTGTATCCAAGTTTAATCCTTGACATAACTACTCTTTTGTAATGTGACGAAATTCATAATGATTGTTTTTAACACAGTATTATACTGCTCTAAAACAGCGACTTGTGAATGTTGAGATCGAAACGTGCATTGCTCGTAACCTTGGATTCGTTACAATGTACGTTAATGCTGATCACAAACGTCAGTCATACGTGTGCGCTCGTCAACTTACCGAAAAAATTTAACGGAGAAAGCGAGATGTCCGTTTTCTTCAGGTTGGTGCATCGCTTTCCATTGCATCCTAAAATTTCGGAATCCCCTAAAAACGGACAAACTCTCTAGCCCCCGTATACAGATGATTGAAACCTAGTCCACTCTCGTTTCATTGTCCATACCCACAGATGTACCCTGAAAATGATCATTTGCTTGTTGGTAACCGACTTATTTCAACCTCGCCTTCGCAGAGGCGGACCATGTAACTTTCCTCGGAGTTGGCTGCTGCCTGTATTGAAGGATAACGTGAAAGACACTGAACTAAAGTACTTTTTCGATGTGATGTTGCCACTGTCGGCTAACCTGAGAAACAAAGGTAACAACCGTTGTAAAAGAACAACTGCGAGTCAGAGTATGCTAAGAATAAGAAAATGATGATGTTGACTGTAGTGGTAGGGCTTGGTGCTCGGCAGGAGGTAGGGGTGTTCATAGATATATTACGTAGGAAGAGGCCATTTTACAGTTGTCTGTTCAGTGACCTTGCTTTTGACTGGTTGCGAGGCTGGATGTGACCTTGTTTTCACTAAATTGATAAAGACCTGACTGCTTTTGTTGTGTAAATCAAGTCGTTCTTATGTTACGTGTAACTACAGTAGTTGACCTTTAAATGAAAAAGCGGAGANTACAAAATCAGCGGAGGCTTTAAGTGCCTGTTACATGTAGGCATTGCAACGTTGTATGGGTAAAGGTGACAATACACTCCGAGCATACAGTATAAATTATAGGTAATTGCTATTTTGACAATGTGCAAAACATCGCTGGCGCCCAGTTTCCAAGATAACTTTCGTTCATGCGGTCTTCTACAGTCTTTTGACTTGGGGTAGCGTAAAGCTTGTGAAATACTTGTGGAAAAATGACCAGCCCTTAAGGCCAGAACGTTTTTGTTTTGTTTTGTTTTGTTTTTTTATATTAACCTCGACCTCTTTCGTAGTCATTCAAGTCTGTTGCCCGGATATTGGGCGTGGCTCTTACGGAGAGACCAGACCTGTGTTTGACGGTGTGCCAGGCCTTGAGGCTGCTTATTTCCAAGACGTCTGATAATGGTGAGTCGACCAAAAAAAGGCTTTCAATAATGTGCACCCTCATTACTGTCACTACTTCAGTTATTCCACATAACGTTATTGTGCTGGCTCTCGCGAGAGGAATATCTGTCCCTCGAGAGCGAGTCGTCACTTTCGAGAAACGCGTAGAGTCTTGAGAAAATGGACGCGACGCGCAAGAAACGAGATACAATGTGGAAGAAGTTGTCAACTTACTACAGGTAATATTTTTTATCGGTATTGATGTCAAAATGATCGCAACCTTCCGTACCAGTCAGGGAACTGTGCCATGTTAGTGATGATATTCAATAATTAAATTAAATTTTTTTTTTTTGCCTCTTTTAGCTGAAAGCAAAAACGAGTTGTCTCTGTATGCAAAGAACTACTTGCCGATCCTGTTTAACTTGTATACCGCGGAAGAGAAGGAAGGGGATCCTGACAAATTGCCAATACTGGAGACCATCAGAGTTTATTTGACCATAACAGATCCCAAGGTTAGTTCTGTGCCCTCCCTGTGGTTTCCGGTAGCGCAACTTCGCTACTGGGACGTTCTGGGCAACAAGTACCTTTTCGCCTAATCTTCGAATCTGGGGATTCTCCGACATGTCAAAGAAAGCATGCGTTGTCTTTTTAGTCAGTTAGGAGCGTACGCACGTTATTTTTTTTTGAACTTTTCACCGGTTATATGTGCGAAATTAATTTGTGTCGGCCTGTGTTGTGCTGTGCTGTGACGTAGCGTGCCGTGCCATGCCGCCTTCCTCGTTGTTGTTCAGTTGACAGATATGAGAACTTAAGAAATGCGCGTTGTCTTGTGTCACTTGGCATCATTCCCACCGAAAAGTCAATTCTCGGAGAACTGATAGCAACTGAAAAATAGTTCCTCTAATTCTTATGTCCTTTACATTTACATATAGTTGTGTCTCTCTTGCAAGAATATCTGGATTAATGTCCAGTTGATACTGTACATAACTGTACATGTGTTCCTCTTGTCACTGTTTAGCTTGTTGCCACGTTCTTCTCCAAGGGTCTAGAAAAGCTAAGAGGAAGCGAAAGTGATACTAGGGCGAGGTATGTGAATTTGGAAGCGAATTTAATTTATATAGAGTGACATTTCTTTGTGAACGAATCGAAAGTACAGTTGCATTAAATTATATCAAGCTTGGAATGTTTGTAAGCAATGTTAGCTCTGTCCATTTATATGAGTTCTGGCGATCTTTGCAGAAATTTGATGATGGACTTGGTCATAGCAATGACACCTTACGTTGATGGGAAAAACATCAAACTACTCTACGACTTGGCGTTACCATGGCTACAGGTATATAAGCTGTGCACTGTTTGTGTTGTCTGGTGTGATTGTCCGCGTGATTATAGACAATTTGGCCGGTAGGTACAGTTGTTAAACCACGTCCAAACGCTGTCCATGTGAGTTGCGGCTCATTTAAGCTGAATTAAATCAAATTAATCCTCGGCCTAGTCCTCGGGTAAAACCTTAAGTCAGTTTAAACCATATCAAGCTCAAAGGAACTCTGTGACGACATTTTGGCCTCGAGAAAAAGAAGGGTTTTAGCCCTTTATTAAAATAAAGAACCACCAATGGGTAATTGTGACTTTTTGTTCATTATTGAGGTCACGGATGTCACGCAGCAGAAGAAAGCTTATCGGATTCTGGAGCAGATTTGCGGTGCTGATTCTGAGAGCAGTAAAAAGTTCGTGGTGTCGCATCTCAAGGAACTTCAAGAAATCCTTCTCAAGACATTGGCTTCTTCAAGCTCGGCTTCCAAAACTGTAAGTACCGCTGCGCTTTTAATGCACAAATTAAATCTTTTATGCAAAGGATTGATTGAAAGAATCGATGTTACGAACAAGACTTTCAGCGAAGTTGATAATTTCAATATCCTTCAAAACATTCACGTAACCTTATGTGTATTTGTCCTTTTTTGACGATCAACTGCATCCTCGAAGGGAAGCTTTGTCATATCACTCTTGGCTCATCGGACTCTGTCCATGGGGTTTGGAGAGTCGGGAACTTGAGTTCTGGTCTTGCATACAACTGTTATTGGAGTTAATCTTCCCTGTGAATCCCTCCTGCATTAATCGTTAACCTCCTAGTTTGTCCCAGTTATGGGGATCGGTGTGGCGAGGAGAGTGCGGGAAATTATCGTCAAGTGACGTCTTTCTGTAATAGGCCCTTTGCACGATCCGGTCACATGGTACGGAATTAATTACGCTGAGACGCAAGTTACACAGTGGGACTTTCAAAGCAAAGGAAAGTCGGGCTGAACTGGTACGAGTTCCTTTGTTTTGGATGTCCCACTGTGTAACTTGCGTCCCAGCATAATTAATTCCGTACCATGTGACCGGATCGTGCAAAGGGTCTATTCTCAGATTCTCAAAGAATCCAGGACAATGTATCCTACACTTAATATACGTACAGGGGGTGGGGGGGAGGGGGATGGTTGTTATTGAACAAGACAATGTCTTAACAGATCTTGGCAACTCCTTTAAAGATAATAGATCTTTACGATTAATTTACCTACCCTATTTGCTCTCCTGCCTTTGTAGCCCCGTTTGCGATGTCTTGCTCATATAGTTCGGAGGTTGGAGGATCCTGTACAGTTCATTCAAACGATTATTCCAGAGGTAAACTTCAACTGTTCCTAAGGTTTAGCGGTTTTTATTGACTAATGCTTACATATAAGAATGTTGCTTTTGTTTCTTAACCTTGAATCAGGTCATACTCTGTACCAAAGAAGTTGCAGTCAAAGCTCGTTCGTCGGCTTTCACTTTACTGATCGAGTGCTGTAACGCCAGTTTCCGTTCTTCGGGAAAGACAAGACAAGGTCAGAGTTTGACTATGTTTGTTTGGTTTTTAACTCACGATTGCAATAGCAAGTTGCGAGTTGTAGTGGGTGATCAGATTGTTTTTTTCTTATTGTAGTTAGGTGAAGCGTTCTTAGGAATAGCGTGTTTCTTATTATTAGTACTAAAATCATAATAGTAAATTTTATTTTTATCCAATACAGCTACCTATATTACTTGTAATAATGATACTTACACAACTAACATTACAATACAGCTACTTACACAACTTACAATACAACACTGCTACTTTTACTTTGGTATGTTGTGTCCATTTGGGCCGAACAGACTTACTTATTCGCTACACACACATCCATGTTGTCATTGCTGTTTCACTCATAACCTTTTGCACCTTCTCTTGATGTACTAGAATGTCTGACGTCATTCCTGGAGTTGGTGGTTGCTGGTATCGCGGGCTCACCTCACATGATCAGCGCAACTATAATTTCCGTGTCTAAAGTGGTGTACGAGTTTCGAAGTGAGTACTCCACTGGATTTAATAACAGATCTTGTGAACTCTTTGGTTTAAAATCGCTTGGTGTGGTCTGATTTTTGCATGTAGTTCCATTAATTCCATTCACTTTGAATTTTCTTTTGTCTTTCAGACGAGATTCCCAGTGCAATCCTGGAGCAGCTTATTCAGGGAATTCTTGTTTGCCTGAGATCTTTTGCTAGGGAGGTGATAAAGTCCTGTCTTGGTTTCTTTAAGGTAATGTTACTCACCCTGTAAATAGGATACTAATCAATCGCAAATAACCTCTTACCCCCTCTCACCATCGTGTGTGCTGGGACAAAGGTTGCCCTCACAATTTACTGTTAATTGTTTGTGCAAAGCTGGCGAGAAAGAGGCAACGTGAGCCCCTTTGCACGAAACACGAAAGGACTACAATTGCCCAGGGTTCGACCTTCGACATGTGGATTTCTAGTATGGTTTCTGCTATAAAGTACTTGTCATACTGCTTAAGTTACGCAAATTAAGTACACGTTGATATAGAAAGTTTCTATGTCATTTGTTTTCTCCTTCTANCCACTGTGTAACTTGCGTCCCAGCATAATTAATTCCGTACCATGTGACCGGATCGTGCAAAGGGTCTATTCTCAGATTCTCAAAGAATCCAGGACAATGTATCCTACACTTAATATACGTACAGGGGGTGGGGGGGAGGGGGATGGTTGTTATTGAACAAGACAATGTCTTAACAGATCTTGGCAACTCCTTTAAAGATAATAGATCTTTACGATTAATTTACCTACCCTATTTGCTCTCCTGCCTTTGTAGCCCCGTTTGCGATGTCTTGCTCATATAGTTCGGAGGTTGGAGGATCCTGTACAGTTCATTCAAACGATTATTCCAGAGGTAAACTTCAACTGTTCCTAAGGTTTAGCGGTTTTTATTGACTAATGCTTACATATAAGAATGTTGCTTTTGTTTCTTAACCTTGAATCAGGTCATACTCTGTACCAAAGAAGTTGCAGTCAAAGCTCGTTCGTCGGCGTTCACTTTACTGATCGAGTGCTGTAACGCCAGTTTCCGTTCTTCGGGAAAGACAAGACAAGGTGAGAATTTGTCTCTGTTTGTTTGGTTTTTAACTCGCGATTGCAATGGCAAGTTGCGAGTTGTAGTGGGTGATCAGATTGTTGTTTTGGATTGTAGTTAGGTGAAACGTTCTTAGGAATAGCGTGTTTCTTATTATTAGTACTAAAATCATCATAGTGAATTTTATTTTTATCCAATACAGCTACCTATATTACTTGCAATAATGATACTTACACAACTAACATTACAATACAGCTACTTACACAACATACAATACAACACTGATACTTTTACTTTGATGTATTGTGTCCATTTGGGCCGAACAGACTTAATTATTCGCTACACACACTATCCATGTTGTTATTACTGTTTCACTCATAACCTTTTGCACCTTCTTTTGATGTACTAGAATGTCTGACGTCATTCTTGGAGTTGGTGGTTGCTGGTATCGCGGGCTCACCTCACATGATCAGCGCAACTATAATTTCCGTGTCTAGAGTGGTGTACGAGTTTCGAAGTGAGTACGTCACTGGAATTAATAACAGATCTTGTGAGCCCTTTGGTTTAAAATCGCTTGGTGTGGTCTGATTTTTGCATGTAATGCCATTAATTCCATTCACTTTGAATTTTCTTTTGTCTTTCAGACGAGATTCCCAGTGTAATCCTGGAGCAGCTTATTCAGGGAATTCTTGTTTGCCTGAGATCTGTTGCTAGGGAGGTGATAAAGTCCTGTCTTGGTTTCTTTAAGGTAATGTTNAACAACTAAAACGGGTGCCTCAAGCGCGACTGCCTCTCCAGCAATGTGGATATGGGGTTTGAAAACCAAATATTTATCAAGGATTATATATTTTTTGGTTTAGGTGTTTTCCAAACCGTTATTGATCAAATAATCGTTTTACAGGCGGCCAAAGCAGGAAAAGCGAGCGAACGTGCGAAAGGCCCGAAAGCCTGGATCCGAGAGGGAACTGAGGAAGAGCCGGTAGATTTTCTTGACCCAGGAGTGGTGCAAAGAGTTGTTGGTGAGTTTTATTATTCCCAAGTCACTTTGGTACACGACTAGTCTTTTAGGTCATTATGAAAATTCTTTTAAGAATTAAAATTAAATTAAAATCATTATAATTAGAATTACAATTGAATTAAAATAATGTTGATCAAGTGTGTTAAAGCAAGTTAATACACGCAGGCTCAACCCAAAAATATGAGTGTGTTTTAAAGTCGTCCGTAAACATTCTATAAACCCCGCGATTCTGAACCAATAGTTGGTTGACGTCAGTTAGATTAAATAATCTTTTCGTCGGTAACATTCCTCTTTACTTATGTTTGAATGTCTCTAGTTAAGCCACTGATCCCAAGAAGCCTACCAAACGTAAAGCGACTGATGATTTCGAGACCTCTGCCGATGGAAAGCTCATTATCCCGGATGACGAGGACGAGGAAGTACGACAGGAACCTGGATCCAAACGCAAAAGAACTTTAGGTAATGATCTGTGTGTAACCTCAAACATTTCCAAACACCTCAAAGTTCATCAAAATACTCCGCTATACGCGTCGTATTTTCAACTGTTTTTCCTGTGGTTGGAAATGTGATGAAAAACGGTCTTTCGGTCTTTCATGCTGTTCTTTATCTACATTTTAACTGCCATCTTTTAATGCTTTTTTTTGTGCACAGGTCTGCAAGACTCCGATGATGATATGGAGGAGGTAAGTCACAGTGTGATTATCGATTCAAAGAGCGTTTATTAAATGTAGTGCCAGAGAGAAAACCTGTCACAACTCCTGGACCCACTTAAGCGTGTGACAACATGGAGCGGTTCTCAAATGAGTGTCGTTAAACAAAAATCAAACTAATTACTTACCAAGAATAGACTACTAGGCTAATCTCAAACCGTAGTAAAACCTGAACCAAAAGCAAAGTAATTCCCTGATTACTATCGATACTCAATCGAAAACCGCTCTAGAAAAAAGAAGAACCGACGTGAAGGTTTGGTTAAATAAGGAAAAAGTTGAATTCTGAGGAAATTAAAGGACGCTAGCTTTACGTTGTGACAGCAATGGCCCTTTTTCAGGGCATTCTACGTGGTTTTCGTTATGCACTGATTTTCCAAGAGCGTTCCTTGTCAAAGAAACAAGTGACGAGAGTGAACAAAATTATCAACTAAATTTAAAACATATTGCAATTAGTACAAAAACTGCCTTGGATTTGAAGGCCATTCATTGTTATTTGCATTTTTCCATCAGAGTCCATCTTCAAGGAAAAAGAAAGAGAAGCCCTTTGGAGCTGATAATGACGATGACGACAATGACGAAGGTTGGCGTGTTGGCGGGTGGTCTTTTGATGTGATTATTTTGTGATTCTTAAATAACCATTTGAGATATTGACTTAAAGATATTGATTTACTTTGTAGGACTTTCGTCAAAACGTGTAAAGAGTGAAAAGGCATTGGGTGCTGAATACAAAGCAAAGGTATGCTCAGTGACTGAGTGACTGAGTGACTCATGGAGTTACTGAGTGACTGAGTGACTGACTGACTGACTAACTGACTGACTGTGTGACTGACTGTGTGACTGACTGGAGGACTGAGGGACGGACGGACGATTTCTTTCATTTCTGTAACGTGTGCCCTTCAAGATTGACTTCCATTGTTGCGTTATTTTACGTCATCGGGAATGGACTTTACTACACATCTTCTCTGTTATTCAATCAATAAAATTCACCCATTAACGTGCGTAAAATAACGCGACATGAAAATCCTCTTTAATACCTCTGCAGGTGTCTTCTCCAAGCAACTGCCAACTACTTTATGGAACTGCGTAAAGTGAAGGTATTGACTAACTTAAAGAGATTTCTTTGTTACCTTTCGATAGAAAGCGGGCGGTGACGTGAAGAAGAAGGGAAAGCCTGATCCATTTGCTTACGTACCACTCCAGTTAAATATGCTTAACAAAAGGTAAGTAGCTGTGGACAACGTAAGCGTAGTAAAAAATGAATTTAATTTCGCAATTGTCTAGATCTGTTCAGTGCGCCTATCGGTCTCTGGGTCTCAGAACTTGTTTAAGCTAAATATCTAATGCCAGCGTTCAATTCCAAATGATTATACGAAAAATTAGTCGCCGTCGTTCGCGTTCTCCAAAATATGCGAAACCTAGTCATTTCACGTTGTTGTGCAGAGAACGGCTGAGAAATGTACCAACATTTATAACGCACGGGCACAGTTATTGTTCTACTTGTAAAAATATTTTGTTTAGTGGTATTCTCGTTGCTGTTGCCGTCGTGATTTGCCTAAGGCCCCTATTACCTCTGAGTTTGCCTCTTAGATCGTAGTTTAACTTGTAGCAAACCACCTGAATTCGGTCTGACATCGCCCGGGACATTTTATCAATAATACTGTATAGTACCAACCAGACCTAAAGTTTCTTTAGACATGTAAGGATGAGGGCGTTTTAAATTTACATTGAAAATCTAGGAATTTATTTTTAGGTAATCCCGGCTTTTGCAAACGTTTATTTTGGACTCGACAGCGTTAAAGTCTCTTTTCAAACTGCCTGATTGGCCTTTGCTGCATGTTCAGTAATAACTGTCCGTTTTACACTTGGATTGAACAAGCCGAATCAAAAGAAATCTCCGATGAAATAATTATTGAAGTCCTACAAAACAAAATACTAAAATCTCTCTATGGTCAGGAGAGTTTCAGAGATTGTTATTTCTTTAACTGGGTGTGTGGGAAATGTGCAGTAGCTAAGCCACCTTAAAAAAAAGATAGAAATGAAAAAAAAAAAATCTATTTCTTTGGCACAGAAAACAAAGAAAAATGGCTGGTCAGTTCAAGGGACTGGTGCGAGCGACCAAACGAGGCGCGGCGAACGTCAGACACAAGAAAGCGAAAAGATGACAACCTAGTCACGACTGCGCAGCAAGCTGCAGTCCTCATGGGTGGATAAATCAATCAATCAAAGACAAATTGAGCATCCGAGCATTTTATTTTCTTCACAGCTGAAGATCATTTCTGACGTCTACCTATATATGCCTTATATTTATGATGTGAACCCTTCCACTTTTAAATAAATAACAATGAGTTCCTAAAGTTCACCCATTGTGATCGTTTGCAAAGCAGTCGTAATGCTTTAAAATTACAAAATATTGTCCTATAATTCTACCAGATGCCTTGCGATTTTACTGGTTTCTATATGTTTTGAAAAAAATGTCTGATTATTCTATAGAATGTATGTCGAAAAACTCTGTCTAGTATTATTCGATTGGACTCCAAACATTCTAAAATGTTCCGCCCACTTAGATTTAACTTGACCTTGGCATCTTAATGGATGCAGTCAACCTGAAATTCGTTTGATGCACATTACAGTTAAGCGTATCACTCAATTTAACAGCCTTAGCTATTTCCACGCCATTTCATACTTGTTAACGTTCTGTTCCTTTGTATGAGCGTTTTTATTGACTTTCGTATTTTAAAAATTGCTATTCCCGTTGCCTGGTTTGCAAGCAAGTCCTCCTCTTGAGTCTAGGCCATATCGTCGTTACGCATTCAGCATTTTCTTCATGGTATATCCCTGCAAAACAAACCGCATAAGGGAGCGTCTTAACTACCTAGTCAAATCACTGAAATCATTGAAACCAATCGTAAGTGGCGAATGCCGCTAACACTGTCGAGCCTGTCTATATATGTTGGGTTCTCATGTCTGAGTGGTGTAAGCTTACAGCAGGCGTTCGCCAGTTGGGTGCATGGCAGGCCTGTAGCTTTACCATTGATTGACCCCATGTTAAGCAATATGATTGATGTGCTCGACTTCTTAAATCACCCTACGTTTCGCTAACGTGGAATTGCGCTTGTTATAATCTTACTAACTTTGTGCTTACAAGTTATCCAAGTTATAATATATTTACTTTGCGCTCGAAATGTATTCTGGCTGTTTTATGCCTAGATTAAGTCAGGGGAAGAAAACGTCATTTCCTTCAAAGTCGGAAAAAAGTCTGTGTCCTGTTCTAACTTGTTGTAGTAACTTGGATTCTTTCCATTTGATTGGCTATTTTCATCAGTGAAAATATATTCTTGGTTCGGAATAGTCTGGGCAGTGACTTATTTTATTAATGAGCGGCAACAATGTGTTTGGCGTGATTTGCAGTGAAAACGCTAACTCTGCTGTCTAGACGGGTCGATTAAATACGATTCACTCACCGGTGCGGCGTAAATGAAGAACGCAATGAGGCTGACGATAAGAATGAATATCAAGAAACCGATGATATACCACTTGTACCTGCCCCAGATGATATGGCGGAGAGCTTTCAATGGTGACGTGAACCATGGAAACGAGGTTGGAGGACGACTGAAAGGAAATACAGAATTTTTTAACCTACGGTACATCTGTGTATTATCTTTTATTCTGTCCTATGCACCTTGATTTTTTTAGAGTCGTTCAAATACAAAGAAGCTGCAAAGAAATGGCAAAGGGTGCCTACTTGATACTTCTACACAATGACTATTACGTCCTGTNGGGGGAGGGGGGAGAACTCCCATATAAGAAGTACGGGGCTGCTCGTTGTGCCTTTTCTCGGTTAAAACTTCTTAGGAGTTGTTTTCAAAATTTCTGACGAGCAGCCCCGTCCATTTTATATAGAATTCCCCCCCCCCCCCCCCCCCCCCCACGCCCCCTTGGGAGGAAAATATGAACCTTTTCTTTTATCACAAGTTTCTTCTCCGTTGGAATGTAAGCGAAAGGAAATACAAATCTCCAGTTGAAGTTTCCTTCCCCGTCCATAGATCTATACAATGTATAAATAGAAAATATAAAGTTAAGGCACAATCAAAATGAGCTTGGGAATTTTGTGTCTTGTTTCACAAAATAACGCCGGAAAACATATTAAGTACGTTCTCTTTTGGCGCGATGAAATTGCTTTGTAAGTTGTGGAAGTTCTGGTAAATATTCACAAAACACTCTTAAAACGCGTTTTTAAGTTATTTCTCATTGGACTTAGATTCTTTACACGCACTGCCACCACACGATAAGAACACACAACAACACAGTGTAACATGTTGCTGCAGTTTGAACATTTTGCTCCCAGGGTTTGTCTTGGACGGGAATAATAGACCCTGGAAAGGAAGTTGGTTAGTTATATACCTGTAATGGACGTCCGTTTCCTGTGATTCGTCAATGCCATCTATCCACCTGATCACAAACAGAGCGGTCTAAGTAATTTTCAAAATTGCTTTACTTTATCAGAGTNACAAAGAAACATTGAACACTACTATGTAGAGAGCATGTAGAGATGGTCTGAGACCCTAAAAGATGCCGTGTAGGATAGAAACATTGACAAGTCTTCTTGAAGTAATATATGAAACACGAAAGACCGTGTTTGACAACATTTCAAACAACTGATTGATACAGAAAATCTTGCATGAATTTGTTGCTTTTATTTGAAAAAGGAAAATATCGGCAAATGACGTGTTTGCTGTGATTTTGGGTGTTGATACTTTCCTAGGATTTAGTGATTGCGGTTATCACATTTGCCAGAAATGAGTTACGAAAGAATGTTGTTGACAAATTTAAAATAGAATCTCGATAAAAGCCTGCATGAATAATGACTTGAAACTGGAATGCTGTGAGACGCATGAGAATTATACAATATCTTTTTGTGATCTCCGGAGTAAGATCCTCTCCTTGTTCTTATTATTAGTTTAAACTTTTTTACAAGGTTATGTAACTTCTCAGTTCTGCATAAACACTCCTTTTGCACATAAGTAATACTGTTGCATGCATGGGATTGCGTGCATGGGGCTCTGTTCCTATAGTTATGGGGCTCCGCTTACCGGCCCTTCGGGCCGCCGGAACTCTGCTATAACTTTTCTCCAGAAGCACAGAGAAGCTTGCTAGCTGACAACACAAAGGAGACCTCTGACATTTGTGCCACTTCGTCCATTAGATGTAAATGTTTTCCCAGAGCGAAATAAATAATGTTAATAGCGACTTAAACAAAAGGAAGCGAGGAGAAAATGATTTTCTTATATCTGGATTCATTAGCGATTAAAAAGAAATGAAAACTAACACAAAAAAATTAAAGGGAAATAAAGCCAACCTCGATAGCCGAGCGCTGTAACTTTGGGCGCACACCACTTCGCACGGCGTACAGTTCTCCTCTCATGGGTGGAGTGAATGGTAACTCTGCACCTTCGTCCTGTAAGTACAGTACATGAATGACACAATCGTCCTCTTTATTACATCTCTTCAATTTACATTGGAGCAAGAGACGAGGAAGTTAAGCGGGGAACAAAAGACTAAGATGTACGGTAAAATGATTTTGGATCAGTGTTACCCACTCAACCGCTGGATGTTAATTAAACCAAAAATACATTGAAGAAGAGTACGGTGAATGCGTTAAGAAAATATATAAAACCCAAAACATGACAGACGTACAAGGAACAGTTCACAAGCAGCCAATAGTTCGCCTCCTTCCTCTTCTCCTCTTCTGATCTTGTGCCACTGCAGTCGGGGTTCAGGAGTCTGGTGTCCTTCTAGCCTTACCATGGGCGATATCACGCAGCGACCAAGAAATCCGTCTTTACCCTGTTATAAAATGACACATCTGATTGCTTTCCCTCAACATATACTACAAGACACATAAACTACCTCATTAGATTCGATTATTTTCCCTGTCTGAGTCAAAACGAATTGTTTTTTTTTTGCTTTTTTTTTTTTTTTTTTTTTTTTTTTTTTTTTTGGAAGCAATTTTTTGAGCTTAGAATGTATTTGGCGGCAGCATGCTAGTATACTTTATTTAAGACTTACTAAGAAACATTTTTGAATAAAGGCCCCATTTTATTCAAGAAAAGACCAAGCAATACTGAGTATAAAATGTCAAAGTAGCTCTCCCACCCAGAGTCAAGTAGCTGCATTGTTGCATNTTTTTTTTTCTTTAGAATTAATTGAAACCTACTAACTAGTCCTTATTCTTGGGAAATAAGCAAACAATCTTACAACATGCAAGACTTTTTATCATATATTGTGGACTGTGGAACTTAAGAGACTAAAAATGTAAAAGAAACCACAAATCTTACCACAGAGTCTCGATCAAACAACTCTACCACCACACTTGGCGGGTTCTTTGCCACGTTCACGACACCTTCGTAAATTTCAATTTCGTCGAAAATCAGAGTCTGATCCCAGGTGGGACACAGAGTCTGAGTCAGTACTGCTGTCACAGCACTTTGCTTGCAAAATGCAACACGGGCATAGGCATCTAACGGGGGAAAGCACATACATTCAATAATAGTGTGTTATTATTGAAGCTGTCAAACTATATAACATCATTAGTAAATAACAGGCATCGTGATGAAAATGTTTCAGGAACGTAATGCATTTTTACCATTCATTCCACTTTCGTCCATCGCAAGCAAATCACGTGCTTGATAAATGTAGGCCCACAACTGATACTTGTGAGGCTCTGTAAAAAAATATCATTTACATTTTTATGTTTTGTTTCATATAATGATCATAAAAAAGCAATGTTATCCAGTCAGCTTTCCTAAACTTTCAAGCTTTTTAATTTACAGGTTCTTACAACATTCTTGTTTATTTTCACCCACATAAACCAACATTTCGCGTCTTTTTGATTTTTCGACAATGGCTCTAGGTTGGCAGCCGAAAACTTATTTTAAACTAAATTTTTCAGACAGAGAACGATGTTTTAATGTAGAATAATGTATAATGCATTTACTTTCACTTTGAACATAAAATTGCATGCCAAGTGAGTTTTGTCTGTTTATAAGCAGAATCACAACTGCTTACAGAAAGTTACCAAATAAACATTTTACTCACTGTGATAGGTGACAAACAATCTTGGAATATTCCTCAAACAGTTTTTACTGTCTTCCTGGTAATTAAAAGGAAAAAAACACACATACGCTGCGAAGTGAGACTTCTTCAGGATATCATATAATTAAGAACCCAGGATTGCTAGAGAAGCAATCACATTAAAAGAAACAAGACAAGTCTGGTAGGTTCTCTTGATTTGGCTGGCTATCGAATGGAGACGAACGACAAAGCAAATGTAAAACACGTGCACCTTAAAGAAAAATTAGTTTTCCTTTGGTTGGGTGTCTTAAGAGCAGCTTATATCTTGCCATATATATATATATTGCTATAACCAATAAAGACGAAATAAGGTTAACATTGGAATTGCTTCCAACAATAATTATCTATACGATGAAAATAAACTTCGTCCAATTTTCTGGTTTTCTATTGCTCTACTGAACACCGATATTTGACCTTCTTCTTTTTCTAGGCCTTCAAGAGCCCAAGCAAGAACAATAGCACGAAATTTATACATTTTCCAGTTTTTCACCCTTATCATTCATGTCATTTCTTCCATTGCTAAATAAATTAAGGTTGGCTATCTACAAGACTCTAACCTCGCCGTCAATTTCTAGAAGACACACGGGAGGCATGGACACTTTGACGTCTTGTCCTCCTTTTGCAACCATTTTTCGGTGCCAACGTCGTCGCCTGACAAAATCGATCTTTCTTTCCTTGTGGTGATATTTGGCCGTGAAAATCGGGGCGTATTCCCACCCTTCTTTCGCAAACTCTTCAAGTTCTTTCTGGAAAAAGGAAAATAAAAAGAATACTTTGTCTACTTACGCTTAAATTGTTGAGAGAAGCATGTAGTCGTAAGGAACATGCAATAGTCATTTCATCTCATGTTTGTTGTTGTTTTTTGACTTTTTCAGAAGTTACTCCACCTTATCTTGTCACATTATAGTATTTAAAAGTTACCTGGGTTAACTGCTGCTTTAAATTTACCTTTGATCTCGTGTTTTCATTATTGTTTTGAATTCACTCCTTCTGAAGGAGAACACGACTTACAAAATTTATTGTAAAGCTATAGCTATTTCAATAAATCATCATTGCAAAATGTAATGACCGAGCGCGAACAAGAAATTATTTTAAGAGCACTTCTTGTTATTACCTGTTTTACAACAGCCTTCGGATCCTTCAGGAGTCTCTCTCTGACCCAACGTTTTCTTCTCACCAAATGGTAAGCCTTCTGTATTGCTCCATAGACTCCGTAAGACGCATCAACTGCGTACTCCCAACCTGAAACAAAGAGGCCCACGGGCTAACTCGTACACTACGTGTGTCAGGTAAAGTGACCTTCAATTTAGGATGTCACAACATCCGAGTAAACATTTTACTTCAATTATTACTTAAAATGGTGTATTTTGCTTTGGGATGCTCCGGATCAGGATCAGTGATCCATGGTCGCTGGGATCATGGTACATCAAAGCAACCGATGAATCCTTGCCCAGACTAGATTCATCGATCTGTCCGGCCCTTTCTTTACCAAGTAATATCATATCATTATTCCTTATCCTGATCATCCCAAAGAAACGCACCCGTGATGTAAGTCCTTAAATGCAATGTATGGAGGGTGTAGATTGCTAAATGAACAATAACTGTGGCTGTTTCACCCTAAAAAAACAATTCGTAATTGGATCAAGGAAGACATCACAAAACTCAACATTCTTCAAGATGCGCATTTTAGTTACGGACATGTACCACTACGGATGGTAAGAAACTACGTTCTGCTTGAATCAAGACCACATTACGTACAGTTTTACTTCATCACTATCAATTTACGTTCAAACTGTTGCGTATAAGTAGAGTTTTACCTTCGTCGTCCACAGCTCTGTTGTCGTCGACTTCCCAGTTACTAGTCCACTCCCAGCCTTCTGGACATTTAATCTTGTCTTTTTCGTCGATCTTGTCACCATGCTATAAACATGCAGATAAAAAAAAAGAAGATTAATTCAATTTTGAATGTAAAGGCATATAAACAACTAACTCCTCTTGGGACGCAGCGAAAATAGAGAAGGATATTCGTCCGCGGATCGTTCGTGGAACTGCTAAGTTCTCACATGAATGGCTCACCTTTACGAGAACAATAGAACAAACAATGCCCGCCCTAGCTCCAAAACATATAACAGCTGCTACAGTTCCGCTTCAGTGAGGCGACCTTCAAACGCAACATCCTTAGCAGACTGATGAAAAGTAGATCAGTTCTACAATACAGGTGAAAAGCAGCCTGTTGCTGGCTTATGAAAACAAATTCTTTACCACATTTGTCCATGGCGCGGATGCTTGGCCCCAGTTCCCACCAGGAATCATCCTCGCCTCGTTTTCAAATACATCTTCCAAGAAGATCTTATGCCCTGAGTCGCGGTCAAATAATAAGCTAAGGATAAGAAATAAAACGCTCTCTTTACTATGTGGCTATAAACTGGATCTGTTTTATAAGGAACATAACTAAATAAACAAATATCTGAAGAAGACATACGGACGGTTTCTAAGGCTTTCCCTTACAATGTTGGACATTGCTACTAATCATCTGCTTAGCCTGTCACCCCAGTTCCTAACTTCTGAATAAAAGAAGGTAAAGTCTACATACGAGCCAAGTGGCTCATCAGGCCGGAGCTTATCTTGGTTTCAGTGGCATGAAGCGACTAGAAGTGTTTCTATTCCCCCCTGGATGGGATTCTAGTCCACCGCAGGGTTACCCCCCAGCATTAAATTCGCCATTAGAGTAAAGTTTCTTTCCCAAGAACACAACACAATGTCCCCAGCCAGGGCTTGAGCCTGGAGCGCTCGCTCCAGAGTCGAGCGCACTGACCATGAGGCCACCGCGCCTCCCCCTAACTTCAACTAACTTCTGAATGCCCCTGAATAATTTCAGTTGTTGTGGCCTATAGTTAAGTTTTTGTAACGTTTAGTTTCAAAAATAAGTTGTAAATTAATTTAAATGAGTGTGGTGAAGTTCTTTTTCACGCTTCGTCTGTGAATATTCGGCTTTAATCTCGCACATTAAGTTCACCGATTCCCATTAAAGAATGTTTCGAATGATCTCACGAACAGATATTCACTTCTCGGAAAAGTGAAGCAAGCTCGGGCACAAACCTATCAGCAGATATTCAAAATTGATAGCCGGTCATTCAGACAACTTATTTTAATGATTAGAATGTTATCCTAAATTCGCAAATCACAAAGGAAAACGGAAACGTTCGATCGTTTTGTTCGTTTCATAGCGTTACATGGGGCCGAACATTTATCCTAGAGACGATGCTGCATCTAAACCGACAAATGTTCCTTCCACGGATTAGGCATCTTTTTGCATACCCGGTATAATACCCGGTGTAATTGTCTCTTTCATATATACACTCTTTTTTTATTGTTTTTCTGGCCGATGCTGGATATTTTGATTTTTTCTGCCGATTTTAGGCTGTAAACATTCTCGTGAATATTCGTAGAGTACAGCGTGTAACGTGTCTGTTTTTGAATGTATTATTTGGTGTCTGGATGGTGTTAAAGTTATTTTAGACTCAGACTGCARTASATAAAGCCGGATATGGCWCAAATAACTTCTTGCAGAAATGGTATTAGCATTGAMCAYAAGGCTAGKGCTGTTTTTGTTATTTTTTTGGCCAGTTTTGTAGTTTAAAGAAAGGAAGAATTTTATACGGTTTAGTTTAAATTAAAACATTCAATTCTATTGTATTTTAATACAAATTTTCAAAACACAAAATTATGTACTTTTCAAAATCTCAGCCTCGGGTTTATTCGCAAAATATTCTTAAAAATTTTTGCATATTTCAGCCTCAATATTCTTCAGTATAAAATATATTTTTATATATAAAGAGTGTATCCTGTTACACTGACTTCCCACCTGAAATTTTTGTATTTGCATTTTTATTGCGTTTGAGCAACATTCTGTCACAAAATTTGACATGGCCAAATTTACTCAAATACAACTACAGATAAATTTTATACATTGCTCTTCGAATGATTTCATCACTGCAGCTTCAGAGTAAAGTCGACAACGTTTGTTTTGAAGGTAACACTTGGAATAAAAATATCCTTAAATTTTCATCGCTGGTATTTGTTACCACTTATTAAATCATTTCCTTTTCACTGATGTTGTTGATTAATTGACCACGGTGGCATATTCATCTTGAAGAAAATACGCTTTTTTTATGCTTTGCACCCTCGTCGTGTTTGCACACTAACGCTTTGAAGCAAACAGCTGCCAACAGAGTCCGCCAAATGACAATTATTCCTATTGACAGGAACCTCGTTTAATCAGCGTAACATTTCCGGTGACTCTTTGGAGAGACGGATGATTTTGAAAACAAAACTAAAGCTCAAAGGTTGAAGACTTTTCAACTGAATATATATTAAGGTAGGTGTCTACTTTTCTTTACTTTTTATTTTTTTACCCTAAACGAAAAGCGATTGCTTCCGTTTGTTACTGATTGTGGAAAGAAATATCATAGGCAGGGAACAGGTGCAAATTACTACTTCATGCATCTTCGATGGCTGATATGTCCTCAAACAAAAAGAGAAACATCAAAAACATAGGAAGTTGAATAAAGAAGAATATCTCGTCGATCCTATTTCTCCTCGAACCAGCAACATGAAGAGAGAGTGGGTCACATAAACATCAGCAAGGAATCTATTTATCTGAAACTGAACTCACGCTGAGCATTATCCAGAACAGGTAGGCTACTCGCGTTCCATGTCAACATGTAGAGAACAAGATATCACTTTGGTGTCAGGTTTAGCACACATGTGGCAAATTGAAGGCTCAAAGCGAGGAGGATCCCCTTGTAAATTTTCAATTGATCGTAAGGAAACAACGCTTCAGGGATCGATCAATCAGGTATCATCTTTAACAATCAAGCACTTAAATCATTTCACAGTCAAATCGTAGCCGAGACAGGACAAGACATGCGATCGAATCGAATTCTAGCGTAGAAAAAATAAATAAATAAATAAATAAAAACTAGCAGGGGTCGATAGGTCGAAACCAGACAAATTTTTTTACCTTGGTGTTATCAGAAAAAAGACTTTTAATTCCTTCAAATCTGCTTATTATTAACGCATAGCCTTGCACAAGATCCTCAGCCTCGGCTCGCCTGTTACCAACCTCCCACGCAGACGCTCTTAGGGCTCGTCGTGGGAGGCTAGCCTGTTACTGTAGCTACGACCCTACTCGGGGTACCTTTCCCGTTTTACTTGTGTCATAAGTCTTGTAAAAATGGCATAAACAAATGGAGTGACAAAAGCGATTAAGCGATATGTGCAATTCAGAGAAATATGTGCATTTTTTTACTTCTTTCCTCCTCTTTGCAACATAGCCTTCTACATTTAAATACAACGTTATCAAGAGTTCTTTCTTCCGTTTGCTGTCATGCGATGAAAGACACCAACTAGCAAGCTAGAACCATTGAAATTTTTAAAAAGAAATGACTTTCTTTCCAGCGTTTTGAGACGAGTTCATCTGATGCGTTTAAATATAGCTAAGAAAAGGAGGTTGTTTGAAACATGTAGCAAATGTAAGCTCTTCGTGTGATTTAGAAATTTGCGCGTGGATCGACAATTTAATTTTGGGAACTTAGAGAGAGTGTTAATTAGAAATAGGGTTTGGACGTTGAACTGTTCAAATAAACATCCGTGCCTAACATGATATTATCAATTTATTCAAATTACCTCACACGTTTGCTAGAAAACATTTAGGAGGAAGCTCTTTCACAATAGTGATGGTGTGAATTCCAAGAATACAAGTTTAATTGTGATATGACGGTCCTGTGTCGGCTCAGATTAAAAGTAATATTAAAAATTTTAAAAAAATAAAAATGACAGCCTTTTGAAAATAGAGCGCTACCTGCCCTGGAATAGCGACTTGGATATTGATAAAGGAAGACTTATTGAAGTATTATAAAACTTCCTTCTTCGAAAAGTGGCACTTATTGTTTTTTTTCTTTTTTCTTTTGTTCGGTTTTCTTTTTTCGTTTTCAAATGAAAAGTTATAATCACACGGGACTACTTTTTGTAGAGTGGGCGCTTATTGGACAGAATAAAGATTCAGTGTAATTATTACGGTATTTTCGTTCATTTATGCGGAGTTCACGTGGCTTATTATGGCGACAGTTGTTTATGTGAGATGTATTGTTATTGAAGATAGAAAAACTGCTGTCATACTCCGACAATGGGCCCTTTGGTTATTTGAAATTATAAGAGACCCAAAACATTGTTGATCATCCGGTTAAATGGCAGTTCAGTTTTGTTTGCCTACATCACTTCAGCTACCCTCTCCCGCAAAAGCCAATTTTCCTAATTAAGAAACAAGAGGTTCGCAGGTGTCAAGGAACTCCTAACAGCATGCTAACAGAAACACGCGTAAAATTAGCCACGTCTTGTTAAATTTAGCCATTAACGTTTGGACTTTCACAAAACTCATCTCATTATTCAGGTACGTTAGTTCTACTAATGCGGCGCAAAATGATAGAGATTATTAACTTAGTTGACGTATTTGCACCATTCATTGGCGTTAAGCACACGTAAAATACATTTTAATTCAAGGAAGGAGTTCTAAAAGGGTAACTTATCTCCTTCACCCTGCGTCCCAGACAGTCTGCACCGACGTTATAGATCGCAAACGGACTAATTCGAGGATTTTGTAACACGTCGGGCTACATTGCAGGCTAATCTTCTTAGAAATTAAAATTTTTGACAAGGTTTCTTGTGAAGTAGCGGTGAATTCAAAAGATTTGTTCAAACCGTAAATTTCTCTTTGAGTCGAGGAGAAATAGAGAGACTATAGAGCTACAATATTTTGAATTCCGGAAGTCATTTCCAAGACTACTCTTTATTCCTTTGAGCCGATTATTTAAGGATTTTCTAATCTGTGTTAGTGTGGTCATGGGTTTTCCCTCTATTTTTCTGTTGCCGGTTGTAAGAGTTAGAAGAGTTTGAATTATTCAACATCTCATACTACTACTTTGTAAGAGTATTCAATATCTAATATTCCGCTTCTATTCCTGCAGGAAGCGTTTGTCTTCCTCTGAGTAAGCTCTCCCTTACAATCTCTCTGGGCTCAAAGGCAGCTATCAGAAATGCAAGAGTTTTGGCGTTTTAGGGGCAAGTGTTTTATTCTTTTTGCGTATATAGTAATTTTTAAGATGAACTCTAAAATAAGGGCAGCAAAAAAGCCAACAACGTTTTTTCTGGTTTCTTAAGTAGTCATTATCAAAATTCAACTTCTTCCGAGCAGTTGATTGCGGTTGTTTAATTCTGCTTGAAAGCTGGCGTCGCTTTATGTAAAAACATCGTTGGCTGCAATCCATTGTTAATCGAAAAGAATTCGATCATTGTGACGAGTTTTAAGATAACGTTTTGATTATTGCTGACCAATTTTTCATTGTCGATACTCATTGTCGACAATCCGTTTGTTTTCGCTTTGCACGTCATTGTTGCTATAAATATTCTGTCTTCTTCAATGTTTTCAGTGCTCAGAGAAGGTTACTTATTATTTACATGCATTAACTCGATCGGGTCCCCTTCTTAACAACAGTAACTGCTGCCATAGAGACTACAAAGTTGACACCCCGTGCATATCACCAGAATGAAGGTTTTTACATTAATTTAAAACATCGAAATGAAAAATTAAACTCTAAACATGCATCTTAGGTTAAAATGTTCGTAAAAGTAATTATTTCCGTTTAATTCGCATCTATCATCATGCCTTTAATTACACTTGAATGCATGGGTTATACCAACAACTAGCAGACTAATAGTTTATGATATTGCCGGTCCTGCAGGAAAAATAACCTAGTTTGACTTACAAATTGATTTTTCTCTCATACGGGTGCTAATTGCGGTATCAATCTTTTCACATCGCAAAATTGACTTCAAAATTAACTTTTTCCGAGTTAAACCTGAGGAAGATGAAGAGATGGTAGCACAAATGGACCAAATGAACTTAAATTCAAATCTTTTATGTGCGCGCAAGCTGCTCGAAGAGGAAGGCCTTATTTTCCAACTTACCTCGTACAGTATTACATCTTCCTGTGGAGTTTTGAATTTTCAAGTAGGCTTTTATTCTTCCCCTTATAGTGATCCATGATGAGCGTAAAAGGCATCTCGATAATCAATAACATTTCAGTGCAAAGTCAGATGCGTGAAAAAGTCAGACTTCAATCCAGAAGTGTTTAATTAATTCGCCCAAGGTTTATATGCTCCCCAATCATTGACTGACTAAATCGACCATTAAGCCCATACGAAATTTGACGGCTGTAATTTGCTACATTTTGGTCAAATCAGAGCCTGAATTTTATTTGAGTTCCTTCGCTCGTACTCGAAATTGCTATTACAACATCAAAATACAGATATTACGTGAATTGTTGACGGGAGAGCAATTGTTGCCACGAAGCAGAAGTTGAGAACGTCTGACAAACGTTTTAAATGAGATACCTGAACCTTGTGCATGCATCCACTCTTTTAATACCTTCAGCGCACTTTTTAAAAAATGTTTAGCAATGGTAGACCGTTGTTTCTAGGATTCTGTATATAAAAGGTATATCTTTTAAGACCCGACGTTTCGAAGTCGTGATCATTGTAGTGTTCTTTAAAATCCTGTGTTTGCTGTCAGGTATTGCCCAAATTCTAATTACCTACTTTGCAGCTGTCGACCATTGTCTATCAGAAAAGTTAAAGGAAAATGGGCGGCTATACACAGGCTCAAAGAAATTAAATTTAACCGGCGTTTCTGGCAGATGGGAATTTTAAATTACTTATTTTTTTAATTAAAACTCGCAAGACTGAAGCCAGCAATCTAACTGAACTTTACTGCGTTTAACTTGCCATGGTCGCAATTAAGTCGAGAACTCTCATTGGTTGAATTTGGAGCACTTACACTTGTGACACAGTTTAACCCAATGTTGATCCCAGGCTCTCACTGCCTCCCTTGACAAGGGAGGCAAACTGGAGTAGTAGTAATCAGTCTCAAAACGTAGCTTGACCTCATGTACATTAGCTAAGCGAATGGAAAAGAAACCTACTAAGCTAAAAACTTATTGCTCATTTTTGTCCTTTAGAAACCTCTTTGTTTCACGATGACATTTCAGTCCAACCTTTGCGAACAAGTATGGGCGCCATTAACAACTTCTGTTACTACAACGACCGTATCTGCTATTCTGTGTATCATAACAGTACCTGGTAACTTACTTATTTGCTGGGCTGTAATTTGGAATCCAACAAGAAACCTAAAGACTCCATTCAATTACCTGGTTCTTAACCTCGCCATTGCAGATTTGATTGTCGGAGCAGTGACAGAGCCAGTGTTTGTAGGCTATCACGCAAACGAGGCTCTAAAACACCCTGTGCTGGGTGTACGATGGGTGGTGTACACCTCATATTTTATGACTTCAACAGCATCTGTCTTGAGCTTAATGGCTTTAGCGGTCAACAGGTATCAAGTAGCGACTTCAAACCGCATCGAAAGAGGCAAGATTTCCAGTGCAGTTGCCACATCTGTGGCTTTGTGGATATGTTCTCTCAGTCTTCCTCTTCTCTACCTGGCTGTTGGCTTCTACCTACTGGCCTTCATATTTGCCAACACAGCCGTTGTGGTCAGCATTGGTGTCCTCTTATTCGTTAACTACCGGATCTATCACAGTCTCCAAGAACACGACAAGAACTCTGAGCACATTCGAAGCAGCCGGGACCGACAGAAACATATGAAACGAGAAAAGAAGATCACAGTCTCGTTTCTCTTAATAATCATCTCGTTTTTAACTTGCGCTGTACCTTCCCTAGTGATGATCTATGTCATCAACTTGTGCAGCACGTGTAACTGTGTTCTTATTCACTGGTTCAGAGATTTGCAATACCTGTTCCTTTTGCTCAATTCTGCCACTAATCAGTTTCTTTACGCTTGGCGAATGCGCTCCTTTCGGGCAGCATTTAGAACAATTCCTGTAATACAGTGGCTTACAAGACCATTTACTGGAAACAAAATTGATCAGGCTTGTTCGCAGACGGATACCCTCTCAGGTACAGCAGTCAGACAGGTGGATCACGAGAGTGGAAGAAAATTGCCTTGAATTTGCAACGACAGGCGGATAGACGACAGAGTCCCCAAAACAAACTGATTTTATTGCACTAAGCAGCACATCAAAACTACAACTTGGCCAACCACACAAGCTGCCTTACGTGATCCACGAGGCGGGAACTAGACTAGCACTTTATGTAAACATACTCGTTACAGAATTGAGTTCGCTAAACACTTTTTTACACGCCACTTAATTGCAAGTCCGAGCGCACACACACTCAGGGGTGACGGGCAAAAATTTCTATCACTTTCCGGCAATTNTTTCAATCACAGCTTCCTTATGCGAGGATAGAAAATGTATGTACCTACTCTAAGTAATAATTCAAAACAAACTTAGAGGATACCACCACTGGTGGAATCTTTATTTACCTTCATGAATTGACAACAATTAATTATTGACCGAGATTTTTCTGGCTGAATATTGACTAACTTCTTTTTTTTTTTTTTTTGCAAGTTTATGGACGGAAACAAAGAGGTCTATAAACGTCCAAAATCGAACGCGTTTGGTCGATATCATGATTATTATTGCGGGAGACAACGAAATTGGTGGTTTGCACTGTCACGCCATCAAAAATAAAAAACGTAACCATTCAATAAATTAAGTCAAGAATTTGGGATATGATATATGATTGATATATAAAACAAAACTCGCAAATATTTAGGTCTGTGCAGATTTTCATTCCTGCGTTATTTGGAAAAGTGTTTCACCCAAATTTATAGACCTTTGTATGGAGACGCCATGTTCGTGCCCTTCAGACTGGCATCAACATGGCGGCCGCAAAGTAACAGACACATCTGTCATTGAGTTTTGCTAATCATCTAGAGCTCCCACAAAGTGCAAGAACTGTTCAGTTAGCAAAAACTTGAGCAATAAGTCCTCTTTTGACCTACGCGAGACCCTTCTTTGGCCGCTATTTTAATGTCGCACAACGCATAAATTGGAAATTCAAACGTCCGCTGTAACAAAAATGAGGAACTCTGTCGAGCTTAAACGCCATAAAACGTCAAGGTTTTAGCTAGGGTCTTATATCTGATGAAACTAAAACTTCAGTAATGTAGGATTAGTTATTTTTTAATTTTGAAAAATGATGACGTCGCATGAAAACCGGCATTATCCCGAGCAGCAACTGATTTACATCATCCGACCTGACGTCATCACTTACGATAGAGTCCAGAATCTCCTGGACCGAGAATACCTTGGGTCTAAGGAGTCAAAGTCTATATTGACGCAGTTTTTAACATTTCATTTGCAACTTTAAATTCAATTTGGTCCTCAATAAGGATAGATCATACAGTCCTTACCACTAAGTGACAAGAGAAAGGGTGTCGAAGTTCATCCTGTCAACTCACCGTTTCTGCTAAGACACCAAATTCACCTTCGCTCTGTTCACGTGCAGTCCAATTGATCTGATGCCTTTCGAGGCCAAGCCATAACTCTACGCGGACGACCGCAGGCAGTTCTGGGTGGTCTGCGATATCAAGGGCTTTCTTACCGGGATACTAAAGCAACAGAGAAAGAGTCAGGACCTTAGTAATACACGTGATAAATATGAGGGTTCATACATACAGGACATACAGCTGGTTGCACTATGCAATCAGACAAACTAAAAAGACAAAGAAGGAAAAGGGAAATATCTAGCTGGCTGGGTTTACAAGGTAAGTCTAAGGTTAATAGCTTAGAATTCTTTCCAAAACCGCTACTCATCAAGATACGAGTTACGAGAGTTAGGAAATGTCTAGTACACATTGGTAACCCTACAACCAGTCATCATAAAACAGAGTTTGATAACGTAAAAAGTGATCGACATCATACCAAACACTTCCTAATAACATTAATACGCTGGATGGAGAAAGAGGAAAACTTTATAGATCATAACGAGATACCTTCATGTCGATCTCGATTGTTTTTCCACAATATTTACCACAGGCCTCCTCCCTGGGTGAGAACATAACATGGTAGGCTGGTATCCTGTGGTAGGCAATTCTTGTGGAGCCGCTAATCATCCAGATAATCACATCGGGCAAACTATTTTGAGGCTGTATGGGTTGGATCAAAGAATTTGATGAAAAAGCCGACCACCACCATCAAAAAACATAACTTTTAAAATCGTCGCTGCCGTTACATAAAACAAACAAACAAACTCAAAATAGGAAAATCGTGGCATAACTGAACAGCTCATTAGATAGTTGCGTACAAGGCTCAAAGCTTTACGAGCTGGCAAGCGCTCGCAAGAGCAATTATACTTTTCAGTTAAAACTAAAATCAACGATTTTCTCTCCTGAAAATTATTTAAAAAGAGCGAAATATTGTTTTTAATCAAAGCGACTCCAGAAGTAACTACTACTGAAACATCACCATTGTCCAGTATATACTTATTTATTTTAAGTCACAAAGCGTGTATTTTGTTGATCCTGGGCAGTTATGTCAGTTATCAATTAAAATTTTTCATAGAAAAACATATGTTTAAGGAGAGCGTATTTACTTTTGAGAGCTGGACCTTGATTAGTTACTACGAAATGTATCATTAGTTATAACAGGGAAGAATGGCACTGAATAGCGATTTTTCGAACTGATGAAGCCTTTAAAAGGTGTAAAAGAGATATTGTTATCCTGCTCAACAGAGTTGTGTAAGGAAAAAACTAGAAACTCGTTGCGTTTCTGTTATAACAATGCCTATTCTCTTCCTGACTTGTCGAGCATCAATGCGCTTTCTATTTCGTAAAATTAATTACCGAAACCTCGCAGTTTTCTTTGATTTGCGGGTGACTCCTTAAATTTAATCATAAACACTGCTTGAGGACACTAAAAATTGAAAGGCCTAACTAAACAACTTTTCGCTCAATTGAATTTCCTTGTCCAAACAAAGGAATGGAAATTTGAAACGAAGTTTCGCGAAGCTCTGCCCAGAAAGGTAATCATGAAAGCATTTTAAAGTTCAATTCCAACCTCATGCACAGTCGAGAAAGTGCAAAAAGAAAGGTAGCTTCAAATGGAAGGATTTCTTATGAATTAATTCTCAACTACTGGTCATCTCTGGTAGAATTCTGCTGTTCGCCGAAAGAAGAAAAAAAAAAGTGTCATCCATAACATTAATTTGCACAAGAAACTATCTTTAACTCGTCACATGGTCCGGCTGAAATATTGAAACAATATTTCTGTGACCTTTTTGAGGAATTTCAACTTTCCAAGTCCGACGGTGAACGCCTCTATTCACCCTACGTTGTTGCTTGTGTCTTAAATGCTCTTTTATCGTATACAACCGTCGTGTTCAGTGCCATAACGATTCAGGCGGTGAGGAAAACAGCTTCATTGCAGAAGCCTTTGAAAACGTTACCCCTGCGTTCAGCTGTTTCAGATCTTGGTGTTGGTTTACTTTGCCAGCCCTTTGCCGTTGCGTTGTGTGCGAAGTGGTTACAACAGAACAGTCCAAACTGTACCGTCTACACCGTCTTCGCCATTATCTTAACANCCGACTGAGACTGCTCGAGTATTTTTTCTGAGTCATTTTCTGAAAACGAAACGGCTTTATCTTTCTTCTTGTAGCTAGACTATGCTTCTCGTACCTGTTCAATGCATCGACAATACTTTTTTTGAAATTCTCAAAACTTTCCGCCACTTTTAAACACGGAGGGAAAAACTTTGTAATGATGACGTCAATCGTGCGTCTGTCCTCTAATAGATCATAGGCGAGAACCAATCAAAATGCGAGAATAACTTGGGTTATTATATAAAAGTCAGTGTGTATAGTCTTCAATATTATCCTAAGGCGCAATCCTGGCCACTCAATTGACAACTGGCTTAAAGGATGCCATTGAGAGGGTAAGCGCGTGGCACGCTTGCCACATGACCATCAGATCGACGTTGAGACTCACCCACACCCTTGTATAGGCTGAGCTTGATTAACCGCAAAACGACACATCGCCAGTCACACGATTTAGACTTTCAAATACGTAATCAATATAAAAAAGTTAGACGTTGAAACTTTCGTCACTTTTTTTTGTCGATTTTCAAATAATATCTATTTGGGATAAGATCATCACCTAAAAAGAAAAGCGTTCAATGATTCCAGGTTGCGTGATCTTTGTGTATAATTTAAATCCGGGAGCCATAAAATTTCATCAGTGTGTCTTTTAAAATGCGGCACTGGCCTTTGATAAAGTCGTTGAGAAGACGCGATCAATTTTATCAAAACCCGAGTCTTCGAAAAACTTAGTCATTGTCTCAATCCTGGTTTTGGTTTTTGACGCCAATTTTTTTTCATCGAAACACTAGGGCTGATCAATTGAACGCAAAAATACCTTTCATCTTCTATCTTAATACAGCTGCATGATTATATTAACCGTTTGTAGCCACCGCCTTTTCCTCGTTCTGTGGTATTATCTGATGAGGCAAATCAAGACAGCGGTATCCGAACTATTCATCTTCATATCAGATACTCCTGGTACCTGTAACAATCAATCATAATATTGCAATGGCGATCTTCAGTTTTAAGGGTTGAGCTGTCGGAGTGTGTTTTTGGCTGTTGTTAACTTCGATCTGGATCTTAGTCATTGTACATCATGATCATGATGTTTTCATGTCTTAGGATTTCACGTCCCTTTACTGTAACAATCTACCCCAGAATGACAAAAATATGAAATACTACAAAAGAAAACGCACTCGGAACCTTCCTACGTGGTTTTCCTCTTATTTATTGGCCCCGTTCAGTGTTTCTCAATTCGTAGAAAAGATGCAAATTTGTCACGCCATCGTGGATGGATTGCGAACTGAATTAATTTGTTATAGGCGACAAATGAAATCGACAACGAACAGCCACAGATTCAGATCAGCCTTTCACCGTTGTCGTTCCTTATTCACCTGAGTTAATAATCAGATTAATTACACACTGCTTATTCAACAGAAAATTAATTTTAACCAAATTGGAAACTTTTTTTATTAGAAAGGTTTTCTCGCCACCTAACTGGTAGAACTTCAAGGGTTGTTTCCTTTTTTCAATGATATTTTCAAATAAGAATATCTGTATGTCTTTATATTTATATGCAAACCAGGAATCGTTTTGATAATTAGAGATCAGAGGCACCCGCTTTAAACAGGATTAGAGTCACCGTATGCGGAATGTTCTTTATAGAAAATTGTGCTCGTGCAAATTTGAACAAAAAATTCTGAGAATTATACCACCCATGAGCTTTACCTTGTAGTCGTGGAAAAGAAGATTTTCGATCAATGCAGCTTCACACTATTGACGATCACGTTACCTTACGCTCAGAAAAATTTGTAAAGTGACAGGTGTTAATACTTAAGACTGAATCTGTCATTAATAACTTTGTCTGTTCAATTCGAAAAAAGATAAACCCCTAGAATATACATCGGTGCGTAATAAAAGGGAAGTATTAGTGGTCTTTACCGCTAGTGTGGCTGACAGACATCATTTTGGTATGAATCATTTTGCTTACCGATTGTCAGAATTACATCTAGATATCATGGAAAGCTCTTTTTGTGATATTCGGCTGCCATACCGGCCTATGAAGTACGAAGGTGAAAGCCTGTATTCATCGTACGTTGTTGGCTGTGTCCTCAACGCTTTCCTATGTTATACCGCAATTATGTTGAATATTACAACCATTTATGCCGTGAAGAAGACATCCTCGTTGTCCCAGCCTTCGAAGATATTGCTTTTCCATTTGGCAGCCTCTGATCTTGGCATTGGCTTACTGTGTCAGCCTTTTTTCCTTGCTTTGTTAGTAAAGTTGCTACAAAACAACAGTCCCAGTTGTCCAACGTACGTTGCTTTTGCAAGTATCTTACCTTTGTTTTCATTTGCTTCGTTCCTCGGAGTTATGATCATGAGTTTAGACAGGTTCTTGGCAATTTATCTTCATCTCAGATACCAAGAAGTTATGACTCACCAGCGTGTTACTAAAGTGGTGATCTCATTATGGGTTTTCAGTTTGTCCCTGTCGCTTGTAATGTTGTGGAGTCCGATAAATATTACTACCGTAATTTTTACCATTTTTGATGTTGGTTGTTTGGTAACAACAACGTTTCTTAACTACAAGATATATCTGGCCGTTCGACACCACCGAAATGCAATCAGTGCGCTTCAAGTACAGAATGGCGATGAAATGGCTAATGCTTTAAGGATAAGAAAATCTGCGCTTGGAGCATTTTACGTGTATCTTGTGTTTGTGCTTTGCTATTTACCAAATATCTGCCTCTATGCTGTCGTACCAATCTTTGGAGTAACTACCGTTGTAAAAAGTTTAACGATATACACGATGACAATAGCGTTCCTTAATTCGTCTTTAAACCCCATCATTTACTGCTGGAAGATGAGACATATTCGGTGCGCTGTGATGGACATTCTACGAAATGCACGTCTGAGACGCAACTAAGCTATAGGAAGTTACTTAACTCATGAACCGTTTTCATTCTGCAACACACTTTAATTACAGTCGAACCTCTCCTTTCGGACAGCCCTATAATGAGGACATTAATATAATTATTACAGACAGCTCACTTGGTCCCAGAGGAACCACGATGCAGAATTTTTGTATTCTCTGCCTCAGTAATGGAGACAGCTCCATAATACGGACACTTGGCTCTGACCCTATGCTGTCCGTATTATTTCATTTAGAAACATCGGTTTTCCTGGAAATGTATGTAATAGCAAGACACATACCTATTTAAAATTGAAGTATATTAGGCATATCCCGTTTCTGGTTTACAACTTAACACCTGTAGAATTTTCACTAGAAGTAAGGAATCATTTACTTATTTATTTTATCCATTATTCATTAAATTGTAAATAGTTTTAACTTTAGCTAAGGTATATTTTATTGTGTAAATAGTGTCCCCAATTAGATTTTTTTTTTAAGCTAAGTACTATTGACACTTTAATAAAGGTCTTTCACTCATTCATTCATTCATTCATTCATTCATTCAACGAGCTCGAAACATCCTCACCCCGTAGGAACTTGAAATTGGAAATCAAATTTTTAACATGAGGCATTTTAAAGGCATTTCTCACCTCCTCGGCAAGATCTTGTAATCGTTGAAGAAATTCCTCCACGTCTGAAAGTGCTTCTTCGACGCTTGTGGCTTTTTCCTTTAACTCGGTGGCTTCCTGTGCAATGGAACGCTGAAAAAAAAACAACAACAACAAGACGTTTGATTAAAAAGTAGCCTTATATTACCTTCCCGAAGCCTTTTTATTGGATAGGATCAATAAACTGCCCACATCTTGATCGTTGAAACGTCTTCATGCAGAGTTAAAATTATTTTGATCTGAAGGCCTTACCGTTTAAAACTAATCACACGATCTCGTGATTCAGGGATCGATAACTAAACTAAAAGTACCATTTCCAATTACTAGTCATTTGTATAATACAGCTTATTGCGGATTGGCCGTTTTACTAGATTATTATACATTGAACTCACTATCTCTTTTCTGATTGGCTGAAAGCGTATGGTGAATTTTCGAAATCAGCACCTGTGGCGTCATCTAGCTTCAGATTATAGAATAATCATGTCAAGGACACTAAGGTCACATGTAATCATGTCATGTATGACCGCGATACATAATTTCTAAGGGTAATCATGTCAAGTTCGCGCGCTTTGTGTTGCTTGCCGTCAGTGAAGGAGCAAAAACATGACTTCCATATTGTTTTTTTTTTTTTTCGTTCTATGCATAATAAAACAAGTATTAGATTCCGTTTTTGTGATATCCAGAATAATCAAGGTCTCGGTAAGGGTTATCAGCCTCAGCCTTCGGCTTCGGCTGAGAACCCCTGCCTCGACCTTGATTATTCTGGATATCACAAAAACCTCATCCAATAATTGTTTATAATCTCGGGACTCAAAAAATGACTCTTCTGAAGTCGCGACTGTCATTTATCTAGAATCAAACCAAAATATGTCGGTAAACCAGGCAATTCTTGCTTGTTTGCATGTAATATAAAGTGAGCAATATTTTAATTTCTGTAAATGTTTTCAGAAAGTAAAATTAACCATTTACACATCGTGTCTTTGGCATGCTATAATATGCCATACACGTTCATTTAATGGACCTTTTCTGCGATACGTTGACCATTTCGAATTTTATTGTTTCAAATAGCTATTATGGAATGCTGTGCAGGGGGTAAGTTTGTATGTATATGCCCCCTGAGCATCCCATAATAGCCATTTCAAACAATAGAATTTAAAATGGCCACCATATCACCGAAAAGGTCCATTGGTAACATTATATATACCAGTTCGCTTTTCCTCTCTAGACGGCGCTTAGCATCTAGCTTGTTTGCTTTTCCTTTCAAGTTTGGCAGACCGTTACTGTTTAAAAGAGTAAATCAAGTCATTCTGGAGCTCGTTGTCAAGTCTTAACCCTAACCTAACCCTACCCTAACCCTAACCCTAAACCTATGTGTCTTAAAGAGATTAATTAAAGATAACCCAAAAACTATGAAAGTAGTTTCTAATCTCGATATTACTAGTTAATCAGTGACAACTAATTGGATAAACCTATCCTTGGGAGTTTCACAGAAAAACTACTTTGTAGTGAGGTTGCAGAACTGAAATTGAAATTCAATGCTCGCGCTCATTTGAAAAGGGTAAAACTATTTCAAAAGTAAATAGCTCATGGAAAAATATTATCCAGTTAGCCCGGCTATGATGCCGTATCGTACCCTTTCAGTAATATATACTACGTTGTAGATGCGGAATTTCTTACAGAAAAAAGTCTGGTCACCATCACTTCGCAAAAAAACAAAACAAAACAACAATAACAACAACGAAAAGAATAAACAAACAAGGATAATGAGTAACTTCGGTGTTTATATATCACGTAATCAAGCCTAGTCAAGCCTAATAATATGTCATCAAGCCGCAGTTTTTTTATGCATTCTTTTCATTCGTAATTTGTCTCGACTTATTCTTTAACATCCGTTTGGGTTTCTCACCTTTTTATCTCTTTGGTAATGTTAGGGACGGTTAGAAATTATCTATTTTTCTACAGGCTTAAGTTGATTTGAAAAGATTTTGGTGTATACGAAAGGATTAGGGATATACACTAGAATATCGTTACTGTAAGAAAGCCGGTGAGACCTTCCTCTTTACCTGCAGTCTGCAATGAGTTGATCCAGTAAAGAGAACAACGACGAAGCGCGGTCTACCTCTGGTGCATTACTGGCTATCATGTACGTTACTTCTGCTGTTTTGCTTTTCTGGAGAACAAATAAGTAGTTCAGCAAATGTCTTGAGTGGTCTTGTACAGCATGTTCTAACATAAAGAGTATTTTTTCGACATCACTGCATTGCTCACGTTAATGCAGGTAACAAGGTCGAGTTGGCATTCTTCCTGTTTTACGTAGGGATTGACGTTAAGGTTTCCCCTAGCGGTTCTTCAGAAAGTCGCCTTTCTCAAAAACTAAAAATTTCAAAATTCTGACTCAATGAGATTAAATGGCCATGCATTCTTATAAACCAGCATCGTTTATTCATTTGCAGATCTTTTTTGATAACACTTTGAATACCTCCTCCAGCTACCCTGGAAAACATAGGAGATATCCTGGGAGACGATGCACGTCTCCTTGAAAAACAAATGAGAAATACGAACAGCAAAACATGTAAGACTCGCCAGCCTGGGAAGCGATGCCGGACTGTAGCCAAGAAAGCCCATACAAGACCTCCGGGGAAATCTTTCAAGAACCCCATCAGTCTTTGTTAGAGAAAATATATAGAGATATCGGTGCAATAGCCAGTCTTACCACACGATCAATAATCCTTAGCAAGGCATTTAAGGGTTCCAATCTGAAGGCAATGTTCTCCCAGTAGCTTTCCACACATACACAAGGCTTCTCCCTGCTCCATGGAAGATAGTAATAATTGCATCCATCGTACACTGCGTTGCAAGGAGGCGTGTTCGAAGGCGCCATGGACTCATCCATCATGTTGCCATAGTTGCCTTCAAAATAACAGCTTTTGTGCGTAAGACGCTTTTGTCTGACTGAAAAACTTAATTTTAAGGGAGACGACTAACAGCAAGTTTGGCATTCGTGTTTAGCATGTAGACAGAATAACCTATTATAACGGCAAGGAACTATTTCACCGTCACTCATTGTAGATAGAAACCAAACATATGAAAATCATTACACGTCTGATTTAACATCTAACTAAAAAATTATCTTCTGTTCTCTGAGAATTCAATAATATTGAATTCCATCGCACTAGTAGAATAGAAAGACCGCTTGGTGATTTCTAGGTGGACTTTTGGGATATGAATGTCATCACAGCTTCTAGCGGACAGCAGTTTTGGCTGAACTGACCGTTGAATCCAAGCATAAAGTGGCGAAAAGATTTCTCTACTTCTCATCTTAAACATCAACTGAGTAATGAAGAAAAGCAAAATTTCTCACCGATGCTAACTTCGAATTCAACAGGCCCATCCACATCAAACACCATCGAAACTTCGTAGAAACAAGCGAACAGCTTGTATTTGCTGCGACTGAGATATGGCTGAAAATAAAATGTAAAGTTTGTTTGTTTGCAATGCGTATTCATTTATTGAACCAAAAACAATCGAATTTTTAGAAAATAACAGCCAGTAAGAGAGCCGAGAACCTTCGGGTGTGTGTCCGCAGTGCCCCTTTGGATCGCGGCATTTCCATCAGTTTGTTATCTGACCTGTGTGTAAAATGACGTAATATTCGAGTCTAAACGTAATTCACGCGAGGGTGATTGCGTTACCTGTACACGAATAAGTTCAGGTCCTTTCATCTTTTCCAATGCCTTGTCGATTTCTTCACCCAACTTGCTTTCTAACTCCACCAACAATCGACCCCTGTATGCCACTCCCTCTCCCTGTAAAAACGATATATACGAGGGAAATGGTTAAATACTCTAACAAACAGACATAAAAATGCAAATAAACCAATTTAGAGGCAATACGATAGGTCAAATTTCGGCGTCCCAGTCTGGATGGGAAAGAAGGAAAATTAGGTAATGGACTAACTCTCAATATTGCTAATATGTTTTCTGGTATGAAAACCATCACACTCAGTTCTGTTCTGAATGGAATATTTGGAGCTCCACGTGTCGTCGGTCATTTTATGTGACACTCGATTGACGTCATAAGGAACAAATAAGTTAGGGTATGCCGGAAACTCACCTTTCCGAGGTTAAGATCATCGTATTCATCCGGGAGTTCAGAAAACTCCCTCGGAGAACCATAGAAATTCAACCAGCAAGGCCCAAACATTGGAAGAAATCCTGACAACGTAAAGTAATCTTCGTTAAGTAACTGCTTTACACATGCTAGTGATCTCAATTTAATAAGCAGGCATGCATGAAGGGCAGGCTGGTGGAAACGCTAAAATATGAAACGGAAAATATAGTTTTCATTATATTCAAAATACCTTCCTCTCCTTGTCCAGAAATCGATTGAAGAGAGATAAAAGTCGTTCCAATACAATCATCATCAGTCAGTCGATCCCTAACAGAAATCAATGCAGAGTTTGTTAACGATATCCCTTAACTATCGCGTAGTATATGAGGTCGATTTCTTGTCAGTTTATCAGTTGAAATCTAACTTAAATTAAACAAAAATACTTTTTTGTCGAATTTCATCATTCAAATTTGCAATTGTGCAACAAAGGCCCCTCGACCTGGCAAAAATGACCTGAAACTTATATCTAAAGTAACTAGGTTCTAAGAAATGGGATGTTCTCACGTTTTTTTGGTCACTGGTTTACTCTGAGGTCTGGTGCTAGCCTTTTTGAATACGTAAATTATTTTTTTCTTATGATAATTTTTCTGCAGCTCAAGCTCCTTGTAATATTAATTTTATTATTTCACCAGACCTACTAGCAGACGGTCTATAGACGGCATGAATAAAGAATGTCAAGTGACAAAAGATCTTACTCAGTATGGGGAAAAAAGGCTTGGTTTACTCCTCAGGTCAAGATATCTCAACTTGCAAAAATCATAGGAATTTAGTAATTCTATTATTGAATACAGAACGGCAACAACAGAACTGAAAAGTACCGAGTTTCAAAATGAGCTGTGTTTAGAAACTTAGAATAACTTTACTTATCTTTTACTTATCTTTTTCAATTCTATTTTCTACACGGCCCCACAGCTTGTAGCTTTAACCCTCACCGTTTTTAAATAAAGTTTATTATATTGTATTTTATTAATAATTCATCAATTTTAAACATAGGAAATCACGGCCGTTACGGTGGTTGGATATCTACTCTTAGTGAGCATTGATTTGTACGATTTTATTTCTCCGTTTTCTCCTTAGTTTTAGTTTCGATTGAGAAGGTATATTACACACTCAAGACAGCGTTTGACCACATTTCCAAACACCTCGAATTTCGTCAAAAATGCTCCGCTGCGCGTCGTATTTTCAACTCTAGCTAACTCTCTTCTTGGTGTTTGGAAATGCGGTCAAATACAGTCTTTCGTGATTGATATAATACTTACCAGTCAAATACTTGCAGTTTTACTCGCTGACACATCGATGGAAACTGCAATAGAGGAACAATTAATTCAGGGGCACCCAACGGATCGTTTCGGTAAATTATCTGTTCGGAAGACCTTTAATCCCCTCTGATTTTCTTAAGAGAATTGTCACCTCGCTCTTTCGTGATATGAGAAATTTAATGTCTGTTGTTTTCGAATTGTAAAAAATGTCGTTTTGGGTACCGAAAAAAGGTCAGCTATCATTTTCGGAAAGGCGATAAGACCTAAGGTTTTCGGGAAATGGACAAAAAAGCCCTAATAAATTCGAGAATACTCAAGTTCCCCTATAGAATAACCGAACAGATAATTTTTTTTAGCGCAACCTAAAATTAACCTACAGAGCTTTAAAAGTACTCCACATAGCCTAAAACAGCTTTTAAAAGCATTCGAGAGAAAACGGTCGTTGGGTGCCCCTGTTAATTGAATTACAAATGTCACACGGTGAAAATCTGAGAAAATATTATCCTTCCGAGAAAGTAGATTTGAATATTATTACTTTTAAAGGAAGCCATTACTCGGTCTGGTATTTAAATCAATAAGAATGTAACGTTTAGTGACATTTTTCGTTGTGATAATGAAAACGTCTCAATTGAAAACACCTAAAAACATGCCAATTTTACTTGCCATAAGATAGTAAGGAAGATATGCAATATTTTTACCATGAAAGGAACTCTTATTGTCTCCTTGAATTCCGGGCAGTCCGTCTTGTATATAGTAGAAGTCCGATTCTACCGTAAAAAAATTGGAAATTATTAATGTAATAGCCGCTTTCTCAGAATACTACTAACAATTCTTAAGTGTCACATTTAAGATATCATTAAACTTTTTTTTATGGTCAAGGCAAGGTAAGGAGTATAACAAGAGATTTACTTATATGGCATCTGGGAGAACGTACTGGTATATTCAACAACATGGAAATGAGTTAATTGTTAACAAGCAAAACGTCTGAGGCCTAGTTCACACTAGCAACATAACGACATAAACACCGTAACTACATAACAAGGACGTTATGTCGTTATGATTGCAGTGTGAACATCCTGATATAATTATATAATAGCAACATAAAAGCTTGAACATAACGTCATAAGGGAAATGCTGATCTTTCCTTGTGCTTTTATGTCGATGTTCACATTGCGACATAAGCTATCATGTCCGTAATGTCATTATATCGTTGCGTCGCCAGTGTGAACGAGGCCTAATAGGAGGGGAAAAGGTGGGAATTAAGTTCCCCATGGAATAACCTAATACTCTGGCGTTGAGTATCTCCGTGAGTTTGCAAATGAAGTAGAAATAACTCTGCCTTCGTTTCTCTGACAGGCACGACTGTAACACGAAGCTGAGGAGAAAATTTCACCTATTGATCTGCGTGGTACATATACTATACCTCTTCCCCACAAAATTGAAAAAGAACGTAAGGATCCACCAGTTTTTCATCGCCCTATGTTGAAAGTAAAACGATAAAAGCAAATTGTTATACAAGTAGAATATAACTAACTCCTTTCTTTTTCTTTCTTAGTCTTTGTAACAAACAATTAGTACGTCCTGAATTGTTTGGTTTTCGGTCGGCTTACCTGTAGTTACCCTTCGTTTGTTGTGTTCTGGGTTAATCGTTTGTTTATATTTTGTTTGTATGTTGTTGTTTTTTCTGCAAATGACCTCCACCCTATTAGTAAGTTACATAATTAATATCTTCTTCGGGTTTATCCAGTAAGAGTAAAAATAAATCTTTCTAAAAGGAATATTTTTGAATACCTATAGCTTTGCTGAACGATAAGAGGAATTTAGACCCATGTATGCGTTTGCATTTTTTTCCCTATAGTATGGTTTTCATTCTAGTTTGCTATGTCCCATAGTAAAGCTAATAATTTGGCCTACCTTTTCTACAGTTAGCAAGTTTTTTACTCTAAATACGTGAACTGTATTTCGAAAATCCATAACAAAACAAAACAAAAAATACCTGCTGCATGTTGAAAAATTTCTTCACACCTTGCATCAATGCGGTATCCACTACACAAGCAAAATCAATTATTTTCATCATGTGCTTCTATTTTCTCTAAGCAATGTTAGTTTTATTCTCGTATCAAATCATTTTCAAGGTAATTCCTATCAAGTTACTTTTAGAAATAGTACCAAGTTCTTCCGCGGAAAATGCACCTTGCACGTTACTGAGATGTTTTCGTGGAGGATGTAAAAGCGTTCAATGCCTCTTGGGCTGTCCGCGTAAGCAAAACCCCGTCACTTACAGGACTGGCTATTTCAAGACCTCTCTGGGATATCCGAAATTAAAAGTGATCTGAAAACCACTTGAGAGAGATTGCTTTGGGAATAAGGCATACATCTGAGATTAACTCTCTTAACTTCTATCCTCTCCCTTAAAAAGGTTTATTATTCCAGTTGACTAGTTGTTTTCTTTCGGCTTGTCTCTTATTTACCTGATACTTGGAAAAATAAGCTTATTCAATGGCTGATAATTCATTTAGAGTTATTATAACGCAGGTGTTGATAATCTTTAGAAATTAACGGGTTAATAACAATCTCGTTCCCAGAGTCTTCGTTCCCCTTGACCAGTGGTCGGAAAACGAGAGCTCTGGGAGCAACCATTTCAGGCGTGCGCCACAGATGAAGAAAATCTGAGACTGCGTAGTGAAACCGGATGGGCAGAATTCGGTTATTCAAAATGGTTGCTCCCGGAGCTCTCGTTTTCCGACCGCTGGTCAAGGAGAACGAAGACTCTAGGAACGAGGTTGGATTAATAAAGGAAAGGAACTAATCACAAATAAGAGCTCACTCTGTGGAAGATCTTCTGCTCGATAAACTCTCAAAGTAAACACTGCTTCTTGAAGACCAACTCCAGTAGGCCTGAGGAGGTTTCTGTTAAAAGAATTGGTTAAAAAGAAAAGTCACTCGAAATCTTTCCTTTTATGAATTATATCTTGGTGATCCAAGTGTCGCGATAGTCTGACATGGTTCATGTTCATTTTTGTCCAGATGTAGAACTTTATAAAACTTAAAATAAATTTGTTGCTACTAAATTCTCAAATAACAGAATCGTCTCTAGTCTTTCTTTCAAAGTAGTCTTTTTTTTTTTACTTTTGTCACCCAATCGTTAGATTGCCTCAACAAAGATCGATGTCTCGGTACATTTTGGGAACGGAAATTATTTTGATAGCATTAAATTACTCACGCCTCTATATCGTCAGAGTCGTCTTCTTCTGCGAGCTTAGACACAGGCTAAAAAGCAAAATATGTAAAACAAACAAATAAAAAACGACCATGGTTGGAGGTTACCGGCACAAGATAGCGGTAAAGGTTCGATTTTCAAGATGCTGTTTCCAATGTTGTTCCACCAACATTTAAGGAAGACTTTGCAGTGAAAAATGTTAATTCTTAATACCGATTGTTGATTTTTCTTTTTATGGCTTTAGTTCCTTCGACTTCGGCTCCGATCTGACAACAAAATTTCTGACATCACTTAGGAAGAACTGGATAAGGTAATGGAGGGGAGAGACGGGGGAGAACAACTATGATTGTCTAATTAATAAAATTGTCTCGAATAGTTAGAGCGGTTTTCATTTGAATGTCGAAAAAACAAAACAAAACAACAACAACAACAACAACAACAACAACAAAACCAAAAGTTTTGCATCAACTACGCTACACGATTGGCTTACAAAACTCGCACCACTTTTTCTTCCAATCTGAAGCAAAACTGAAACCAACTATGATTCACTGGCACTCGTTTTCCCGCTCTAAGTGTCAGCTACATGTAGTTACTTCGATTTTTTATTGGTTCATTGCTTTGTCTGTGTCCTTTGTGATTGGCTAAATTGATTATTTTGGTTTTGGTTTTACGACACTCAATTCATTGGAAACCGCTGAGTATGTAGCTAGCGGTATGTATTTGCAAGGTATTGTTTAAACCACTCGGACGCTGTTTTTAGTGTACGTTAAGATAACAAGTTATACTTACTGGTGGCTTGTCCCCAGGTCCTAGCACAATCACAGACGCTTTGAGGTAACCCTAAAATTAATTACAGAACAACGAATTTGCTATCTTCTCACCGTATGTAGATCCTGAGTATCAAACGATGAAACTGTAATTTAATATTAATCGTAACACTTACGGCAGGCGAACCACCCTTAGCAGTGCCTCGAACTCCTTTGGCGCTCTTTCCTTTACCCTTGTTAAAAAAATAAAATCTTCAGAAATTGACAGAACTTCGTGCTCTATAACTAATTAGGAATATTTGTATGCTGGTGCGGTTTTCCAAAGAGGTCCATACATGTTCGTCGTTAATTACGAGCCTTCATTCGAAGTGTTATAAGGCTTGCAAAATTTTTAACTCCTCATCGACTTTTCTTTGACAGGAGAACATCAAATAGGAGGGAAAGTGGTTAGGATAACAAATTAGACAACTTTCCAATTCGAAATATCATAAATCTTAACTAGATTATATTTTCTTGGTTTGAGATGTATCTACATGTAATTACCTACATGTACGTATACAGGTATAAGCAAGTTATAGCGTCTACGATTTGTTGGTTGTCTATTTCTTGGTTTGTCTATTTCATGTTTGCTTCTTTCTATTCAAGGTTCACTCAGAAAAAGCTGTTAACATTATGACATTAACAAGGACTGATCTGACAGCCAAGAGAAAAAATTCAAAGAAAAATCACCACACCAACCGGTTCTTTCTCATCTCCTCCTTTATCTTGAGGGTTACTTAATAGCATCCACTTACGAATAAAACTATGACCTGGAACATTTCAAAGGATTATTGTTAATCTAAAGAACTATGAGTAATTTCTTAGAAATAGATCTTTTGATAAAAATTAGCGATCAAACGTTACGAAGTTTCGAACTCTCCGAGCGAGTAAAAAATATATAGAATATAATTAGCATTGTTTACACTCTGGCCACACCATCTCCTGGGAATCTTCAAAGATTTTACGTACAAGCACAAATTGGTGCAACAGACGTATTTTAGAAGCATGGGAAATTAACACTTGTAGGAATCCGCTGAACCGTGTTGATGGCATGCACTTGCCGCACGAATTTTTAAATTTAGCCCTAACGGACAGAACATATATAATTAGCTCCGATTTGCCGATTTGCATAGTATCAGAACGTGCTTTTTAAACAAATTCCTTGTCACTTTCCCCTGATGAAGGCTGCAGTTTTAGCCGAAACGTTGGGACTTTTACAAAAAAATTTTTACAAACATTTTTACATTTGTTTAAACCAGAGTAACGTTTTTCAATCATGAATCAACCACCTAGTTACAGGACCATTTTTAAAATAATTAGCATAGATATGTTTCTGACAGTAAGAAGTGCTTTCGCTTTACATCATATACTTGACATTGTTTATGGAAATACGGTATTTCAGGGGTCTTGACCGTTCACGAGAATGCTATTTGACCCTTTCAAGGTCTTTTGATACTGACGAATATTAATATGACCCTTTTAAGACGAGTTCTGAGGGAACCTGTTTTCAACGGACGCCCTGTATTAAGCGGACACTAGCACGGGTCCCGAGGGTGTCCGCCAAACACAGGTTTGACTGTAGTTAAAAATGTCTCGAGTGCTGAAATTCAATAAATTATGTAATTAAAAATGAAAATATATATAATATATATATATATATATATATATATATATATATATATATATAACTAAAATAAATTGAATACTTTATTTAATTATTTAGATTTTTCTTGTTTATCACTTCTTTATAATTGAAATGAGTAAATAATTATGTAGATGACATTTTTAAGGCTTCTCTTCTTTATAAAAGAGCTAAAAGAGCCAGCGACATAAATCTATATTCGTCTTGTGTCTTAGGTTAATTATTTATCACGCGTCGTCCACACCGGCTTTTTCTAATTTCATCTTTTTCCTGCTCATTAGATTTGAATATTTTCCAGTAGAGTGCCACACTGGTGTATATCTTGTGGTGTTGTCTTGCTACAGTCGCGAACTTTTCTTTTCATATATGCTGAATCTGCACGCTTTATTGAACTTTATTTTCTTATTGAAAAATCTGAACGTCCCGTAGCTGTTAGGTGCTTTGACGTCACAAGATTTGACAAAAACTGTTATTATTAAAAACTAAGTCTTATTATCAAACCTCACACCTGGCATATCGTATATAGAGTAAACATCCATCTGAAATATAATTCAAACTTGCATAAGATGACGATAAACGTATACATGTATACCATCTTATGTTTTTGAGTACATGTACGAGATCTAGAGAGTTCATTTACTACGTCGTATAAATAGAAAGGAGCCTGCACGTTTTGGCTACGAGCAGTCGGTTTGTGTTCCTGAAATACCCCACGCGATTGAAAAAGTCAGAATTATGCAAATTAAGGAAAGAAACGAGAAAAGAAAGAGGCGAAACAGGGAAAACCCTTTTCTTCATTCCACGCCCGCACTTCCCGCTTCTCGATCGTTCGTCTTTTGCTTTTCATTCGTGTATTCGCAACACAAACTAGGAAAAGAAAGACACTGCTCTCAATATATTGCACGTTTGAGTTAGAAAATCTTCGTATAGTAATCGTTGCTTTGTGTTACCTGCTACAACCGCCTCACACTTAGAGAATCCTTTACTTTATTGGTAAGAATCAACTGAGGATTTATTCCATAATACATTTGTATTTTCTTTGTTCCATATTGTTCGATCCAATTGAAATTCTCTATTTTATAGTACCTCAAAGTAGCCAACCAGGGCATCTTTACGGTACTTCCTCGAGTCGAAAACCTGTAAAAAATGAGAAACCGGCTAAGAAACAAGCAAAATGGAAGGGCCAGATTTAGCCTGTTCCAGGCTCTAGTAATATTTTTCTTTGAAAAGGTTGCTCTCAGTTACATTTTGTATATTTGACTCCAAACAAAACGATTTAGAGAGCATTTAAATATTATGTTGACTATTCCGAAGAAGATGAATTCTTTTCCGCTTTAATAGTCAAGGCACAATTTTGGAGCTTTTACCAAAAGCTTCCCAGAGGGGGTAGCATGCTCCCTTGATCCCTTGAAAATTTCAGCTTTTCTACCTTGTTCCCAATTAGTAAATTCCTTTGTTCCCGAAAATGGATTGTGAAGGTTCCCTTAACAATAGAGATATCCCTTGTTTTCTCAAATTAATTCCAAAAATATACCTTGTTCTCTTGAAATAAATGAACATGTTGCCTTGTTACTCAAAACCCCCTCATTATAATGGACCGTAAAATTAAATTTGTTGCTGTGACGAAAGCAGAGAAAGTAGTTTTGTTCTCTTCGCACATCTCCTCAAGATGACCATTCCACGACTGTTCTCCTAAACAAAGGAACTAGAATGTACACGGTCGAACCAAAACGTTATTCCTCCAAGGAATCTTGTACGTATACTCACCTCAAACGAGACTATTTCTTCAAATAAATCCATTGGCGATGCATGAAAACTAAATGAAAAATTCTGCGGGAAAGAGAAAGCAAATTATACCACAAGTTTAACTGAACAATCCTGAAGTTCAGTTTTAAGACAAACAAAAAAAAAGTATTTTAGGACAGCTAACCTCGTTAAATGCAGGGTTGTTTGTACATTTCTTGATTTTTGTGTCTTTGTCTTGATCTGCCACACTCACTCGAATCACAGGGTGGATGTTACCTCCTGATAATTGACGGGCCTCAAATACCTTAACGCGGATCTGGTGACAATAAACCAGCAAGTCAGTATAACACGCTTCGCCGAAAGTGCTTTTCTTTTGAAACTTAATAAGGAAATTGGATCTTTGAAAATTGGTATATCACTTCGATTGAAATTAAAAATTGGTATATTACAAAGCGTCAAATGCATTTGATTAAAAAAAAAAAAGGGTTTAAAAAATTTTAGTTGCTTTTTTTCTATTCACTTGCTTGCTAAAGCCATATGTCTGAGGGAGGAAGAGGGAAAGAAATGGGCCAGAGAATTTTGTGTTACATGCATATACCTGGAAATCTTGCGGTTTGTTTGATAACGCCCTCCTCTTCTTTCGACGCCTCCTTCTATAAAAATAAAGTTCAAAATGACAATTATCACTATTACATCGACCTTTTGATATATTACAACTGAACTTCTTTGGCGTCCATCCATCGACTACAATATATATTGCGTCTCTGTTGAAAGTCACGAAAGAAATACAGTGACAAAGACAGAAGAAGAGCCTTAATTAATATGATTGATGAGCAGCTCATATATTTAAAATGGTTCCATTGGTTTGCTGGCTTTCCTGTTCTAGTTTCTTAAGATGCCTCATTTTCCGTTTCATCTAGAAGACAATTTTCCGCCTACCTCACAGGAATAAGACGCCTCACTATTACCCAGGCAGTGACGCCTGGGTTTAAATTTCGGCTTTCTTTTTTTCCGCGTTCAGTCATAAATCGCCGTCTGGTCTCTAAAGCGCATGCGCTACCTGTGCATGCGTACGGCACATGGAATTTACGGAGGTTGTCGTCGAGAAAGGTTACCACGGATTCCATGATTTCTAGGGCGCTGAAATCACATACAAACGAACACACCGTTCAAGGTAGACCAACACTAAAGGACGTTAAGCGTTTTCGGAACGGGTCGCCGCAAGCCTTACGAGAGATCAATTTACGAGCGAACATTTTGAGTGAATCATGAATCGTGTTATACCAAGGGAGTCATCAACCGGGGCTATCAACTCTTCAACTTGATAAAAAGCATCTTCAGAAGCGTCTCCGTAGTTTTAGACGTGATCGTGAATCAAGCAGAATCCCAGCACGAGCTCAAGAACGTCTGAGCAACAAGAGCAGAAAGGTTAGAGAATTTGTTTACGAATTCATCTGTTCGAGTACACTTAAGTAAAATGCTCTGAGAAACTTCGTAAAGTATAATAAAGATAAAATCTCGAACTAAACGATATTCTCTCGTTATTTGCTTGTAACAGAGTTATGTGT